GGGACATGGGTTAGAGGTGGAATTGGCAGTGTTGGGTTTATGGTTGGACTCGATGATCTTAAAGGTCTTTTCCAACCACTACAATTCTGTGATGCATTAGTTAAAAAATCAGTGTAAAAGAATGTATGATTTCCATTGTGCACAAACCTTTTTTAGCCAGAGGGGAACTCTAATTAGCTCTGTCTGATGACTTTAAAGATTCTTAGAATCATAGAATGGTTTGGATTGGAAAGGGACCTTAAAGCTCATCCAGTTCCAACCCCCCTGCCATCAGCAGGGACACCTTCCACTAGACCAGGTTGCTCAAAGCCTCATCCAGCCTGGCCTTCAACACTTCCAGGGAGGGGGCATCCACAACTTCCTTGGGCAACCTGTTCAAGGAAGTTCTTACAGCCTACAGAGCAAATATGGATTTGGTGAAGGTGTATCAATGCTTGTGAGTCCATATAAAAAATCACCACCAATCTGTGCTGAGGGGCTCTGAGATAACACTGCGAGTCAGGACTGAGATGTAATGAAACAGCTGTTCTGGGATATCTTGGGATCCAGAAACGAGACAATAAAGATCAACACAGAACTGAGTGTTTTATGTGGTTTTCTCTCTCTGCAGGCAGCTAAAAGTAGCAAACCCAAGCGTGGCAAAGGGAAAGGCACCAAAAAGAAAGGAAAGAAGGTGGCGAAGGAAGTGGATATCCTCAGCCCAGCTGCCATGCTCAACGCTTACTACATCTGTCACAATGCTCCCGCCTGCCTGGAGTCCCGGGGCTTTTCCTGGCCTGGTTCAACCAAAAAAAAAGGGAAGAAAAGAAAGAAGTAGGTTGCTGGAAAGTAAAGGACTTAGTGAAAACCGAACTCCCCAGTGAAGAAGAGACTTCTTTGCTGATTAGACTCGTACTGACCTCTCTCTGGTGGCTAGCTTAAATATTTTGCCATCATCACTGTTGTGTCTGTACAAAGACACTCTTATAGTATGAGCGTGGAGTGACAACTGGTAAGTGACACTGTGCCATTGTCATTTCAGCTGTGGCCTTTCACCCTCCAGTTCTGTGTGGAATAAAGCACTGTGCCTCAGCAGTCTGAAGTGTTTGTAGTGGGGTTGGCTCTACCCACACTGCTGCTGTTCTTTAATGGACGGGACGTGCTCACCGATAGCGTTGGTGTTCCTCTGGCTGGTTTAACCAGGAAACTTGAGCTCAGAAAGTGGATACCATGGTAAGATTGACAGTGTGAGTATGATTTCAGAACATCAGCTTACCTGAGAGTCACCCTGTGCTCCCTGTCTGGGTCAACAGAGCTACGCGAGGCCATCTGTGTGATTCACCTTATCCTAAAGGAATGAGGTGCTGGGGGAAGAGAAGCTCAACATGAGGCGGCAAC